GCCCATTGCATGGACTTTAAAAAAAAATTAAAATAAATTCGCATTCTGTTTCAATAGTCTTATATAGTCCTATATTGTTTAAAGTAAACAAAATATTATTTTCCACTTTTTATAAAAGAAATTTCAATTAACATTTTTGAATATTTTATGTTAAGTAAATGTTTTTTTTTGTAAAAGTCTGACAGAAATCTGAATAAGTTTCAACTTTTCTATATTAATTTTATTAAAGTTCAAAATTTCGATTATAATCGATTATGCCCAGCCGATTATTACCGATAATCGATTCTGATTTTTTTCCGATTCCCCATCACTAGTCATTAATGTTACTACTATTATACACATTTTGATTAAGGAAGCAAAAAAAAAATTAAAAAAAAAAAAAAAGAATTGCCTACCTACCCTATATTCTTTCAGCCCGAAAGCGGAAACAAACATATTTTTTTTTCTAGGACTAACTGTGGGACTACTCTTTTGCAGGGCAAAATGGTATTTGGCGAAATATGACGTAAAAGTAATTGTCTTACGAGCATACTTGATTTTATTATCTATCAATAAAAAAATCGCCAAACGTTATAAATTGGCCTGCAAAAGAGTAGTACCGCAGTTATCGTGAAGGAGCTAATAATGTGGTGACCCCATTTACTTCATGCTTCATGTATTCAGCTTTAAGGCTACACATCAGGTATTATGTGTTCATTGAATCTGTTGTTGCTATTAGGGATGGAATACCTTAAAAGTTTACATCTAGCACATTCAGAAAGAGCTAAATCAAATCTATGCTAACTTATTGAAAAATTAATTTCTGTCAATTGTCGTACACGTCCAATTTTATGTAACGTGCATATATATGAACATGCATATAAAGATCTCTATCAAACGTCATTCAGTGGTCTGCATCCGCATAACTATGATGTGGATATATGTCTAAGAATAAAATAAAAATATAATTGCAATTTTTGTCTAATATAATATATGTATATCTTTCATTTCCAGAAACATTGTAGTGGGGAAAGGGAGGCAATCTTCAGTCACCATGTGGCAGTGCAAGCTACATGTAGCTTGCAAGAGGAGGTGTAAGGGAGATAATTACGTAAGCCTTGTGTGAGAAGTTAATGTGAACTGATATATATGTCAAATGTTATCAAAAGTATCAAAATGTAGAGAGGGATACATGTATATATGAATGTTGAAATTTCAAAATTGTTAAAATGACATAGAGTATGCAGTAATTAAATAAACTCAGCCAGTATTTGGGAATATATGAGGCAAAAAAGATATTTAGTGTGTTTGTATTTCAAGGCTAATCTGTTTGAATATATACAGTGCACAGTTTCCATCAAGGTGCCTCTGAATATTAAAATGATATAATTAAATACTGTGTTCATGCCAAGGTAGGTAATCTGAACCAATTTTTCATAGATATAAATGGAGTACATTTATAATCATGAAGATTTTTCGTTTATAAAAAGTAGAGAATCGAGATTGGTTTTATACATTTCAGATTGAATCTTAATGATTATTGTAATGTACATATTCTTCATATGGATAAATCCTAAAATATACTTTTTTTAAAATAAAAACAAAATAAATGTCAGACTCCATTGTACAGAATAGTTACTATATATTTCAGTCATTGGTGTATGCAGGAAGCAGAAAAACAGAGTGGCAAAGATGCTGTCAGCTAGAGAATTGTCTCTGCAGTATTCAAGTATTAATAAAAAATAAGTAAAAACATCATTACATGTTCTATCTTTTGTAAAAAGATATCAGTATGTGCTGACTTTTAACAATAATTTCAAAATATGAAATATTCTGGATACCTGAAACTCAAATTACTCCAGTTAATGTATTGATGTTAAAATTTGTTTTAATTCTTTTGCTGAATGTTAATCCAGCCCCTTAATGTTTCCAGGTCATGACGATACAGCGGTCAGAGACAGACAGTCACAGACAGGTGATGATGAGATATATATGTGCAGGTAAATTTACCTATGTGTTTGCACGCACTCGAAGCTTAAGTGTACATATTAAGTGAAAACGCGACCAAAGTCTTCACCTGTACAGAGGGACGTCTGCCAGCGGTGTTAAAATGACCTATCATTTCAGTATTTATGTAGGGTATATAAATAGACAAATTCCGGTCTCACAGATAAAATCTGGGCAATATGTGGCCAAATTTTATCCCATTACTACACTTATCTATGTTAAATTCATCAAATTGAAATCTATACCAATATTTCTGTATCTAGATATCATAATAATTATTTGTCTCATAGGATAAGTCATACCCCTCTTTACTGCTATAGGCTGTCGCCAGATTTAATCCTTGTTCTAATTTTGAATGTGCATAATGACTACAATGATATTTTACTTTTTTCAGTCAAATTCATAAGTGAAGGTTGTTCTCATAGCTACGTGTTCACCTCAATTTACTAGTACAGTCTACATCTGTTGCTTCATACACTTAGGTTAAAATTTATTACATGTATATATCCTTTCGTTAGATTTCACATTTCTTAGATTTACCATGATTAGAGTTTTACTGAATTTTTTTAATCGACATCAGATAATTTTTAATTTTTTTAAAACATGAACACATGTGAACAGTATAATTGTGATGTCTCTTTGGTCTGTACTGGTCCTCTGTTTTCAGATAAGAATTGTGTCATTTGGATTCATGTCACAGTCAGATATGGATTCATATAGGCTTCTAAATTACAGAGAAGTATTTGAAATAAAATGAAACTGGAATCTATTAAGAAAAAAAAATTTTGAAATGATATTTTACAGAAAGTAATTGACAAGTAAATATTTCCATTGACCACCAACTACCAGCAATCAATTTTACCTATGGATATCATCTCAAAATTGAATCCTTCTGAGTTATGGAAAGATTTTCATTGCTTCCTGAAATTCATTAAAGGATCTGGTAAGTGTTAAAAAGTCAAAAGTCCAAAGGATTGAGGTACCCTGAGATTACCCCAGTGGTCTGGATTCCTTGCGATAAACAAAGAAAAGGGTCAATCACAGCAGATCCCTATATAACTAGGCATTGGACCATGGAAGTCCTACCCTGAGATTTTTAAAGGTAAAATTTAGTTTCCATGCCATTGAAGTTTGAAGCTTGCCCGTGCTCCATTGATCTCCCGATTATATGTCTGGCAAAAAAGCATGAAAGAAAGATTATGCAACACCTATATTGAATAATACCTTTGTATAGCTTACACCATCTGAGGGTTTTCGGGTTAAGTTTATCATCTACGTTTAATCATTAAGCTTAGTTGTTACGTGGGAACTGAACCAGACTTTTACAGTAAGGTAGAATATTTCACTTTGAAGTTTGGGTAGCAGGCAGTGATATTTACATACTTATAGAAAAAATCTCTTTGTTAGCATGAGCAAAGAGTAAAATTTCTGAATTTCTGAATTAGAATTATGGTTAGAAATTCTATTATGTTAATTTTATACCCAGTACATGTATATATTAGGAAGTATATGTCATAAAACATTTACAAACATATTAAGCAATGACATAGTATTTATATTTATATATTTTGTCAAAAAAACTTTAAGTAATAGTAATGGCCGGCTTTTAGCATCATCCCAAAGACTAGAAATTGACTATGTCTATTTTTTGTTGCAAGTCAATATTCAGGTTAGAGTGTAATTATTCATTTGATAATGGGTATTTCTAGATGCACATGCACTTTTTGTATCATGAATTCAAAACTAAAATTGCATAACTTGAATATTTATTTTGTAATTTTGCCTAATTTTGTGGCAGAAACTGTTGGCTTTGATAATAAAACAATCAGAACTAATAAGATATATAACTAGAAGTATGAAAAATAAAAGAATTTAAGCAACAACAAAATTCAAATTAGTGACAAGATTGCTTATAGAACTGAAGCTCTATTGTCACCTATTTTAGGATACCTATATATTATCCATTCTGCATCAAGAAAGCCTATAAATATTTAATTTCTTCTGGAAGAATTTTTTTTTACTGTAAGCTGTAAATTAAGTTTTAATTTGATCTATACTTTTGTTTAATTTTTACAGGAAATAATTTTTCTATTTACAAATTTTTATCCTCTGTCAGAATAAAAAATAACATAAGCATTAGCTAGCTAGGAGTCTCTGAAAAGTTGAATTATCAACATGTACTATTAAGATGCACTTTTTAAAAGATATTTGGAAACAATTTTAAGCTTTAGTATAAATCTCAAGTGGATGGTTAAACATTTACTCTTCTGCATTTTTTCTATGACTATATTTTATCTTATGTACTTAAAATTTATCTTGTTGAATGTTTTATTTCATTCTAAAAACGAGCCCCACCTATTTATAATGCTTTGTTGGGTTTATGAATCTATAGATATCCTCCAATAATTTGCAATGGAAATTCTAATCTTGCAAAAATTCTTCCTATGTTCAGTGTCAAAAATTTTATCTCAATTTTTGTTTTTAGAAAGATGTAAAATTATGAATGGCATGGAGTTGTTTATTCTAATATAATGCAGAAGAAGGATTAACGCTTGGTCAATTAATTTGAGTAGCCACAGATTAGTTTGAGTTGCAGTGTTTACCTATGCCTGAGCAGCCCCTGTAAACAGGTATGCTGACATGAAAGTTGTATTTAATGAGTGATAAAGACCTTGTAACCGAGGATTAAAACCACTATATTATCTCACACAAATGCCCGTTCAATTTATTGTTAAATGTTAGCATGTCAAAAATTATTCAACTTAATCAAACTTTGAACAAATATTTGCTATTGGTATGAAAGTAGATCACCAGTGCTGATTACGTTGTGACATTGTCTTGGAGTTGATGGGTATCTAAGAATTAGACTGTCTGAGATTAGTTAGTGTAACCCCTGCCTTCTAGGGGGAAAAGTTATTGACCAGGACCAGTATTGTATGATTGGTAGGTAATCCTCTCAGAAAAGTTCATGGGTTTAAATATTCAGTGCATGGGACTGTAGATTTAATTCCATTCTGAACGTGTGTATTGGAGGGGGCAGTATTACTATGATAGGTTTCACCACGTCTATCATCGGTCCTTGTCAAAGCTACATGATATTTCGGAGATAATATATCTTGCCTTAAGGGACATCACCACTTTCACAATCTACACGACAATTTTCCATTCAGTAGGACTCGACACTAGCGATTAGCTTAGTGGGACTTTTAAGTTACTGATTGAATTGCTTGTTTAAACTAGAATTAGCCGTAAAAGGAAATGACACAACGAAAGAATAAAGAAAAGACACTTGAGAAAATCTCTGAATGGAAATTGGATGTAAATGCTTGGATTAAATTTTCTGATGGCTTTGAGATGTAGTGGGAGCTAGTATAGCATGGATTCAGCAAAAGAGACAATAAATTTGACACTTTTTCGGTCCATCAGAACATGTCTATGCCATTAATTCAAATGAAATGGACATAATGAGGGTGTAATGTAGACTATGTATTTTTAGGGAACGTTTCACATGAAGAGGAACAGATATGAGTTTAAGGCAAAGTGACAAGGGCAGGGTGAATGGAAGGCTCGGAAATGAATTGAAGGTAAGTTGTTCATATACAACTTTATACTGATACATGTAGACAGAAGGTATTTGTTAGCAGAGAAGATTCGAGTGGAGTTATAATGATGTCTGAATAAAAAGCACCTGCTATAAAATGACGTTAAAATGTCAGTAGGTAGGCTTATCAGTCTCTTACAAGTAATTTTAACAATTGAAATGAACTTCCATCCAGAAAAAATATATTTTCTAAGTTGCAAGAGGTATGAAATACTGGAATTTAAACCAGCTGTTTGAAAAAAATTGTTATATCTCATTGAAAAAAGATTATATTCATTTGCATAAATCCTTGAAGTTTTCTGTATTTAACATTGATTTGTGCAACCTGAGACACTATAGTGGTTGAAGCAGTGCTTGAAATGTATTTCTAGACAGAACAAAGTTCAAATTCAAAGAGAGATCTTTTTTCCTCCTGATAACTGGCCAATTTTGATATGTAAGGAGACAAACTTGTTGAGCAACAGTAATGTCACAGCGATAAGGCTGTTTGGTTATTGATCTCATTCAATCTCTGTAGGGAGGGTTTTTAAGTGTTTTCCTCTGACTTTTAAGTGCTTTAAAATAAAGTTAAACCTTCTTTATCTTTCATATTATCAAAATTTGTTAAACATTTGCTGATTTAATGTCCTGCGGTTTTCCTATACATCATGAAATAAAGATATTTTTTTGATATTAAAGAATTAGAGATGAAGCAAATATATTGAATACACTTCTAGTTTTGATGATCCAGTAATTTTTTTTTCAATTTACTTTGAGCCATTATTGAAGTTCTGAATGGGAGAAGGAAGTTTGTGTTGTAATTGTAGCTTGAAAAAAGTTTAATTAATATGGGTGCACATGACAAATTTCACAACTGACTGTAAACTATTATGCAGGGTCTCTTATTGTACCAGGCAAGGGTTTGTGCTTAGCACCAGTAATACATATCCTCTTTGAAGGAAACATAGAATTATTATATACATGTAGTGTAATTTCCGATGACAATTATAATATGCCAGGCTCCAAAATTGGGCATTTTTGCACACATCTAACTGACTGAATTTCATAAGACTGACTGAAGATATTGTATATTCACTTAATCACAAGTGAGAGTTAATTAAAATGACATATTTATATGTAACACAAGCATATTTTTAAAAGCAGAAAATATTGAAGCCAGCTTTTTGACAGATTCAGACTATAAATATTTGTATCAAGTTCCAAGGGTAAATAAATTCTGAAAGACGATTTTTACAGAGTGGCGTCAGGTCCGCGAACTTCGTCAATATCAATGGATCGAGGGTCATTGATAAAACCCAGGGTAACATATTGTACGGGGTAAATATTGAAAGTATCCAGCACCCGAAGTGTTTGAAAAGATAGTCATCTTTGATGTGTAAAGTTTGCACAATATCTTTGTCTCTCTTTCACCACAATGTGGTTAATTTTTAAACATGTAAGCTTCCAGCTGTGGACATATATGAGGATGTGTCAGCAGATTTGAAAAGCTTTTTATATGTCAATCATTGAACCCAGTTTTAGAAAACGGTTCCTTTTTTGAACTCTCTATTTGAATTTCTCAATACTAATTGTAAGTGCCATTCACGTACAGGTATACTTTATACATCATCACTTTGACTTGTGATTGCTTTTAATCCTGTTGTATACTTGTATTACAAGAATGTCATTCAGACTTGGCATGATTTGCCCTAATCATTCATTATATTTGTGAGGTATTCATAAAGTTTTAATAGCTAGTTGCAAACCACATGCACACATGTACAAAAGGAAACCTTCTTTCTGCTAATGCGTGATTTTTTTTTTATGATTTAAAATGGCAAATTATTCTGGTAGTAATTAGGATGTTTGGGGGGAGGGGTAATAATTTCAGTGTTTATATGTCTTCATTAAAATTAATTGAAGATTTATTGGAATACTCTTATATAAGAGTCCGTACCTGAAAAGCAGAGGGTTACTAGAGATAGTGATAGGTATATCTGAATGCATGTCCTTCCAACTGTACGTCCATGACACCTCTAACAACCCATCTCCTATCCACAACTTCTTCTTTACCACTGAACAAAATATAATGATACTTTCAAAGAATCTTTAATGCATATAAGTGTAAATGTGCATGTCCTATTTATGTTTTGATCAAACAGATATCTATAGTTTTTCCCATTTCAAAAAAGGGTTTTACAAGTCTCACTTTTTCCTAAGGCTATATGTATTTTATGTAATTTTATCCTCGGTATCTGGAATCTCGTACTATTATAAGAAGGGGTATTATTTTATGAGCTGCAGTGCTCACAGTACCTCTAATTTTAAAGTAAAACTTGAGACTCTTTGGAAGATTACTAATAGTAATATTATCATTATGTGATACCAAGTTTTTCTGATTTAATTAACACCTGTTTATAATAAGCTGGGTATATCATTTGTCAACCTGACATGACTATAGTTGACCCAATCAATGTTAAGGGTTACAATTAAGGGCCTTGCACCCCAGAAATCAAAGGGAGATAACCCTTAAGTGATAAAGGGTCACAAGTGCATGTTTCAGACAGGTACTTGCAACGCTGAGGGGATTATTGCCAATAAAATAACTTGATAAAGTTAGATGATTCACAAAACAAATTTAACTTAAAGGAACCTTAAACTTCTCAGCCGTTCCTAATATAGGTGAAAGGTTTCAAATTTGTCATAATATACATCACATGTATAAGGATATGTCTTTGATTAACATGATAAAATATGTCATTTTAGAGTTCTATATAGCTATTAAGGTGGAGGGAAAAACAATGCCTGCTTTATAAGGCTGTAGTTTGATCAAACGGCCCCATATATCTTGGCTGTATCATAATTTCATAATCGAGTATCTTATTAAAAAGATTGATATCTTCATCAAAAAGCTTCATACACAAACAAATAAAGTCTTGAGATGTATGACAGTGACAGATCCCTTGGTTCTCGGTGGTACCGGCTGTGTGGGGTAACCTAGTTCTGGGTTCTGTGTCCAAATTCTATTGTTAGTTGTTGATCAAAGAATTAAAATTGAATTTTATTTTTTGTCCTTAAATATACAAGCTTTGAGTTCTCTCGACATAACTTCAGATGTGATACAGTGATTTGTTCATTATTCTGTGAAAAAATCCTTGTCTTAAATAAAAGTGTCATTTCAATGAGTGACAGGTAGAAAAACACAGGATGTATTTTAAAGCTTTTTAAACAGTCTCTATCCTATTTTTATTCAAAACCCTAAGCCTTACCCTAGTCCTTGCTCTCCTTTTCGTGATGTCCTTTTGTATACATTTTCAATGACCTTGGACTCATTTCTGGAATTGTAAGCTTTTTGACAAGTGAATTCAATGATTTTGCTTTATATTCTACAGTGCATTTTTTATTTATTTTTTATTGCACATAGCAAGAAAAACTGATAAAAACCTCTCAAATACACCCTTTTACATTGCATATTTATTTCAGAAAAAAAGTGAATGGAATAATTTAGACCACATTATCAATCAAATTCCTTGTATTTAACTCTTTTCTGATGTCACTCAAAAGATGACCTTTCTGGGGGAGCAGATTCCTCGTGAGAGCTGCTTTGATTTTTTACCTGTCCAATACCTTTATCTTACCTGTAAGGTGAACCACAGAAGCACTAAATTTATATAGAACTATCTGCTGTCTAGGATACTTCTGAAGTGCTTCAGGTTCTAATCAGTTCAAGTTAAGATTACAGATGCAGGAACAAGGAATATTTACGACTCAGGTGTTCTAGAGGGACATTTACCTGTTCACACCTGGTTAACTCATCCTTTTGATGTCGCAACCTCTCTTCTTCATTTAGAGTTGTATTACGAAGGAGCACAGTGAAAAATGGGAGTTTGATGAGAAACTCCAAAGAATGCGAGGACAGTAATCATATTGAATCAGATAATGCTAGGTTTACTAAGTATGTCAAGATGAAAAAGACATACATTAATTTAAACAGGGGCTTTCCTAGGGTCATATCACCTGATAAATTCCGACTTCTTTAAGGGACTAGTCTAGCTGACATATTTTTGAACAGGTATAAATCAGGCTAGAAACTTAATCCTATAAATCAGAGAGAGCCTCAATCAGTTCCTGTCCCCTTCTATTCAGTACACACTTCCCCTCTGACATCGAGAGGACAGGAGGAAAAAAGATTAAATGAGAAAACATAGATATTAGTCTAGGTTACATCAATAGAAGTTCTACGGGTCTTGTTTTAATAATGGTGAAATTAATAAAGAAGATTTGGGCTTATTGTACATGGTCTGACTACCTGTCGGAAATCATGGGGAGTCCCTAGATATCTATCATTTGACAGGTAGAAAGGTATTGAGGCGAGTTATTATGACCACAGGGTTAAACGGGTCACTTCAGTCAATGTTCTAATGTAGCGAGCCTTTGTTGATATTTGTTTAAAGAAAAGTCACTTTCCTCTCCTTTTATACCATTGCTGATTTAGGACTTTTTAGTCCCGCGTGAACAGTACTTTAACAACACGCTGGTAAGTGAGATTTAAGAGAGACTTAATTTTGCTTTTGAATGGAAGTTTACTTTCCAAGTGTAAATGACTGCCAAGAGGAATGAAATTCTTTTTAAGTACTTGACTGTAGAACATTATAATTGCTAAAAGTTTTCATTTCAAATTTGCTCTGATATTTCATGTACTGGTAATATATATGAAATAGAAGCTAGAGAAAGGGAAGTACCTGGTCATATTTCACAGAAATATGTGTAGGATATACCTGGTAATGACTAATTAACAGGCCTATTAGAAGTGTGAGTGATTTACCTGTCTGGCCTAACCCTCTCAGCATGGGAGTGATTGACACATTATACGACCTGTTATAGCATGTTACATATGTCGTATAAAGTCTGAGCTGCATTTAATCAAAGTTTTAGCAGCTAGACACATATGTACAGGTCCTGTACAGGTATGCAGCACATCAGCTGGCAAGAATGCAGGCTGCC